AAGGCCCGAAACGTCAGCCTTCCTGCTCCTCTGATGCCGCTTGGCCTGCTGTGTTCATCCAGCTCTACACCTTGTTATCTCAGATTCTCCAGCATCTGCTGTCCCTACTATCTCTGAAACGATTTTAACCCCACTGCGAAGCCTCTTCTAAGGATGCCTACCCTGAAGAAGTTACCCTCCTCGCTCTGGAAAAACCTCAGTGGCATTCTCTTAGATACAAGCTTGTTGCCATACAACAGAACTGAGGAGTAAGGAGTGAAGAGGGGGCAAGAAAGAAAGAAAGGTGAGCAAGGAAAGTGTGGCGAGGGGTGTGAGCAAGGAAGAAAGGGTAAAGGGGGCAAGGAGGAAGGGATGAGGGGGGCGAGAAGGTGGGCCATGAGAAAAGAGCGAGGGGGCCTGGAAGAAGGGGCGGGAAGAATCTGTCAAGAAGTGATAAAGAAGGGGGTAGAACGAGTCGATACATGAGGGCTCAACACGTTTATACTCACCCCCCAGACTCGCTCCCCGCTCCGCGACATGGCGGCAACAGACAACCGGCCCGCGCGCTGCCAGACCACGCCCACAAGATGTTGCCTCGCGCCAATCCCTCCCGTCATCCCTGGGTGAAGTGAAGCGCTCAGTGCAGGGGGCGGGGCTCCATCCCGGAGGATTGTCACTCGGGTTCACAGGGTTTGAAGCCTGAGGTTATCTGGTGGGAGTCCTCTAAATCAACGTCGTTTGTTTATCTTCGCAGTGGACTGCGCCTGTTTCCCTTCCCCTTGTCCCATTCATCCAGTCTAATTCGGGATACAGTCTGTTTCTGGCTGGATCTCTGAAGTGATTCTATGTGCTCAGTACCAGGTGCAGCAGAGTGGATGGATCTACATTCTGACTTGAACCTCCAGTTTCTTGTCACCATGTTTACTGGTCAACATCTCTCTGTGATAACAAGGTGTCGAGCTGGATGAACACAGCAGGCCAAGCAGCATCAGAGGAGCAGGAAAGCTGACGTTTCGGGCCTAGACCCTTCAGCAGAAATGGGGGAGGGGAAGGGGGTTCTGAAATAAATAGGGAGAGAGGGGGAGGCGGATAGAAGATGGATAGAAGAGAAGGTAGGTGGAGAGGAGACAGACAGGTCAAAGAGACGGGGATGGAGCCAGTAAAGGTGAGTGTAGGTGGGGAGTTAGGGAGCGGATATGTCAGTCCAGGGAGGACGGACAGGTCAAGGGGGCGGGATGAGGCTAGTAGGTAGGAGATGGGGGTAGGGCTTGAGGTGGGAGGAGTGGATAGATGGGAGGAAGGACAGGTTAGGGAGGTGGGGACAAGCTGGGCTGGTTTTGGGATGCGGTTGGGGGAGGGGAGATTTTGAACTTGTGAAGTACACATTGATACCATTGGGCTGCAGGGTTCCCAAGCGAAATATGAGGTGCTGTACCTGCAACCTTCGGGTGGCATCGTTGTGGCACTGCAGGAGACCCAGGATGGACATGTCGTCTGAGGGATGGGAGGGGGAGTTGAAATGGTTCGCAACTGGGAGGTGCAGTTGTTTAGTGCGAACCGAGCGTAGGTGTACCTCAAAGTGGTCCCCAAGCCTCCGCTTGGTTTCCCCGATGTAGAGGAGGTCACAACGGGAACAGTATACAGTATACCACATTAGCAGATGTGCAGGTGAACATCTGCTTGATGTGGAAGGTCTTCTTGGGGCCTGGGATGGGGGTGAGGGGGGAGGCGTAGGGGCAGGCGCACTTCCTGCGGTTGCAGGGAAAAGTGCTGGGTGTGGTGGGGCTGGAGGGGAGTGTAGAGCGGACAAGGGAGTCACGGAGAGAGTGGTCCCTCCGGAAAGCAGATAAGGGTGGGGAGGGAAAAATGTCTTTGGTGGCGGGGTCGGATTGCAGATGGCGGAAGTGTCGGAGGATGATGCATTGGATCCGGAGGTTGGTGGGGTGGTACGCATCTGCTCCCAGGATGAGGCATTCCACTCTCGAACATCTCAGATGTCCTTGTTTTTCAAGGACCGCAACTTCACCCCCTCAGTGGTTGAGAACGCCCTCGACCGTGTCTCCTGCATTTCCTGCAACTCATCCCTCACACCCCCTCCCTGCAATAACAACCAAAACAGAATCCCCCTCGAAACTCTCCCACAACAACACCTCTCTGTCCCGGGTTTGCTGCAGTGCTCCAGTGAACCTCAGCATGAACGGGAAGAACTGCATCTCATTTTACGCTTGGGAACCCTGCAGCCTTCAGGATGCAATATCGAGTTCAATAATTTTAGAGCCTGATCACCTTCTCCCATGCCCTGACCACAATCCACCCCGCCCCCGACACACACACACACACACACACACGACTTTGTCATCGCATGGCCTTATACCACAACAAACCCATTGTCAGTTACTAATAGTCCTCATTAGCAGTCATTGAATCCCTCAGGTTGAAATTTTACCCATAAAAACCGAAAGAACTTTGGATGCTGTAAAACAGGAACAAAAACAGAAATTGCTGGAAAAGCTCAGCAGGTCTGGCAGCATCTGTGAAGAAAAAAGTCAGAGTTAATGTTTTGGGTCTGGTAACCCTCAGTTCTGAGGAAGGGTCACCGGACCCGAAACGTTAACTCTGATTTCTTTTTCCTTCACAGGTGCTGCCAGACCTGCTGAGCTTTTCCAGCAACTTCTGCTTTTGAACTTTTACCCATTCCTTTGTACAATTGTTTTCTCTCTGCCCAGGCTCCATTTCCATCTATTGTTTACTCCTCTACCCTTTCCCCCCCATCTTCACTTATATACCAACCTGTCAGAACTACAATCAGTTCTGAAGAAGGATCACTGGACCCAAAATGTTATCTCTGCTTTCTCTGCACACGTGCTGCCAGACCTACTGAGATTTCCCAGCAATTTCTGTTTTTGTTGTGGGTGGCTCTTTCCTACAAAGGAGGTGATTCAAGCTCCACTTGAGGAGTATCTAGGCCTGATCAAGGAACATGGTAGTGAAGGAATGCTGTACCCTCTGAACTGCCCTTTTCAGATAAGTTTCTAATACTGGGAGAAACCGATGGCACGAGAAAGAGAATAGTGGGGTCCAGGGTAGGGGACAAAGTCTAAACAAATGCTTTCCTGAATCATTACTACCAAACCACCCACATTTTTATTCTATATCATTCCTGAATATCTTGAATCCAGAACTATTTAACAGCCCTTCTTTGAGCTGGGTCTCTGTTACAGCCACTGTAACTCACCAATCTTATCGAACAAACTCAGAAGAGATAGGAGAGCAGGAAGGGTTGTGATACTGGTTAAGGAGACTACTCCAGTTCTGGAGAAAGAGAATGATTCTGTCTTTGAACCTTATGAAACAATTTGATTAGGATGCGCTGCTGTACTGGATACTTATAAATGAGTTGGGCCAAGTAGATTAAATGTCAGTGGGCCAACATTTAGGAGACAGTGATCATTATATAGTACTGTTTAGGATGATGATAGAAAAGGACAATAGGCAATCCAGGGCGAGAATAATTAATTGGGATGGAGTCAACATCAACACGGCAAGAAGAGAGCAAGGCCAGGTAGACTGGAATGAAATGTAGGAAAATCTGTAGTTAAAAATGGGCTACCTTCACAAAATGAAATTGTTTGGGCACGTACAAGATATATTCCCTGAAGACAGAAAATGTAGGGCAATAAATAACAGAGTTCTCTGGAAGAAGAGACAGAATTTAAGATAAAGCAGAAGTGTGCTTGTGACTGGTGCCATGTAGAATGTACAATTGAAAATCAAGAGAAATTCAGACAGGAGGTGAAAAAAACATTTAAAAGAAGTAAAGAGGGATTATAAGAAAAAAAGGTTCCAATTTAAAGGGTAATCCCAATGTCTTCTGTAAGGACATCAATAGTAAAAAAATGTGGCAATTTGAGGAGTGGGGCCAATTAGGGAGCAAAAAGGGAATTTGATATGGAGGCAAAGGTCATGGCTGAGGTACTGAATATTTTTGCATTGTCTTTCGCAAGAAGCTAAATGCAGACCAGCAGACAGAGGAGGAAACTCTGTTACTAGAAGGGTTCAAAATTGATAAGGAGGAAGTGTTGCATAGACTGCCAGTATTTAAAAGTTGAAAAGGCATTGGAACTGAATGAGATACATCCAAGGTGACTGAAGGAAGTTAGAGTGGAAATTACACAAGTACTGGCCATAAATCTTTCAGATTTTCTCTGGATTCTCAGGAGGTGACAAAGGATTTGAAAATAGCAAAGATTATGCCCTTGTTCTAAAAAGGTTTTAACTATAATTACAGACCAGTCAGTTTAACTTAGTAGTCACATGGAAAACTGTGTTGATGAGGAAGAGCTAGCACAAATTTCTAAACAGGAAATTATGTTTAATTAATTAACAAAATGTCAAAGATGATGGTGTATTGGGGTTTCAAAATGTGTTTGATTCATTGCCACAGAATAGATTTACAAGAAAAGTTATAGTTCATGGAATAAAAGAGACAGTAGCAACATTGAGTAAAAATTAGCTAGAGAACATAGAGTAATGGTCAATGGGTATTTTTCAGGCTGGAGAAAGGTTTATACTGGAATTCCAAAGGGTTTGGTTTGGGATTTTTGCTTTACCTGATATACATTAATGAGCTTGGTGTGCAAGGGGCAATTACAAAGTTTGCCAATAACAGGAAACTTGGTAGAATTATAAATGGTGAGGAGGACAGTATAGAACTTCAAAAGGACATAGTAAGTTGGTGGAGTGGGTGGATTGATGGCAGATGAGGTTAAATGCAGAGAAATGTGAGGGAAGGTATTTTATGAGGAAGAACATTGAAACACAATATAAAATTCTAAAGGGGTTGTAGGAGTCGAAGGACCACCTCATATGTGGACAGATCATTGACACTGGCAGGACAGCAGAAGAGAGCAGTTAATAAAGCACACAGTACCCTGCATTTCATGAATAGGAACATAGGGTATATCAACAAGGAGGTTATGGTGAACTTATCCAAGTCAGTTGTTAGACCTCAGCTGGAGTATTGAGCATAGATCTGGGTGCCACATTACAGGAAATATGTGAACGCAATGGAGCGTGCAGAAGACATTTACAAGAATAGTTCAAGGGCTGAGAAAAGTCAGTTACGAGGATAAATTGGAGCAAATTGTTCTCCTCAGAATGAAGAAGGCCAAAATCATGAGAGGTCTGGATAGAGTAGGTAAGGACAAGCTGTTCCCACTCAAAAAAAATTGAGAACAAGAGGGAAGAGATTTGCTTATATATAGCAAATCTGATATTTGAACAAGTTTTTTCACACAGTGGCTTGGGTCTGAAATGCATTGCCTGAAAGTGTGTTTCAAAAGAGACATCTAAGAGGGCACTGGATGATTACTTCAATTCAATCAATGTGGAAGGGACGGGGAAAAACAGGTGAATGGCATGGAGCCATAATGCTCAGTTTGAGTTGGTGCACATGATGGACCAAATGGCCCCCATGTTTAACACTTCTGTGTATCTGTGACAGCCAGCTGCATTGACAGGTCATACCTGGTCAATTTTCTACACAATTGCATAGATTCCAATGTTGTGTAACTACTGGAATAGCTTGGCTATAAGCACAACTTGTTCTGAACAAAAA